GGCAACCTATTCTTCCATGTACTCCAGGATACAAGCAAGTCATGTACTGTATATTGCAAGTACAAGTATTTATCTGATTTTGTTCCTCCTTATTGTTTACTCCTTATTGTTATATCTGTTGATAATAAACAAATAGGTGAACCCCTGGCCTGCAGAACTGTAGTTTGTGTTGTTAGAAAAAATAATGGTAGGCACAAGCCTTGTCCAAAGGAGTAGGCTGTATAGTACTGTAGCTAGTGCTGTATGCTGAGGTGGTGTTTTCTGTATCTCAGGATGTATCTAAACTCTGGGATAGGGATTAAAAAATTTGAAGGAAGAAAAAGAACAATTATGTGTCACCTTGTCCCTTGGGTAGAAGTACAAGTGGTATAGACCCAGGGTGGGCAGTGTGGGATGTTTTGCCCAGTTCAGAATTACCTTAGAGGAGGAAACAAAAGGTCCATGACTGCTCGAGGTGTGGAGGGTTGTGCAGGTTTAGTTGGAATGCTGTCTTAGTAGATAAAGGCTGTACAGTGGAATGAGCCTGAATATTCAAAGCTTTGTTAGGTTTCAAGAAATCTAGCTTAGGCATGTATTAGAGGTTGGCTGTATTTTTAGAGTAAGTAATAAATGCTAGTGTCAGCTCTTGCATTTTAGTAAGAGCTCTTTACAACATTTACATCCCTAAATATTTCTTTCCTACTAATAAGGGAAGCAGAGTTTTTTTCCTTTGGGAAAGCTTTAAAAATCACTGGTTACTGCTAGGCACAAAGTTGTGAACATGTTCAAAATTGAAGGTAGAGAAATTACATGAACATGTTTGGTTGAGGGGAGACCAAGAGCTGTTCACCCCTTAGACAAGCTGAAGGTGTGATGCCTTAAGTTTGAGTAGTTATATTCTGAGTTGAGAATAAAATACATGTAGCTTCTCAAATAGGACTTATCAGCATTAGAACGAATTGTTTAATGTATAAAAAGAGGGCAGCAACTACAGAAAACGCTTTGGGATGTAATTGCTTGTATGCTTATGTGTTGAAATTTCAGTCACTGTAGTCACATGTCTGTCCACTTGGTGAGCATTCAGTGCTGTTTCTTGGGATAACCTCAGTGTCAGGGAAACTGTGTTGATGAAAACAAAGCTTGATGGTTATTCTTTGATAAATTCAGGAGAGTTCTCAAGTTGGCAGTGCTTCTCGATCTGCTTCTGTATGGAAAGCTGTTAACTGTGGGATGTCAGATTTTGTGGTATAGTGTCTGTGTTGGTTCTGCTGTCTTTAAGGTGATATTCTTCTGCATGATGGAGTTCTGACTTAAATACAGCTTATGGCATTCAAGTAAAAAGTAGTAAGAGAGAGAAATTTGATAAATAAACTGCAATAATCTCTATGATTTGTTACCCTAGTAATACCTTCAACACTTAAAACGATCCTGGGGTTCAGGTTTATATCTAAGCCACAGTAAACACCTTCAGTATTTAAAAGGAAGGAAAATTAAAGTTTTCTGGGCTAGCAGACAGTAGAATCTTTTAGGTTGCTTGTTGAAATAAGTATCTTATCAATATATACTTGTTCAGTGGGTAGCTTAATATGTTGGATTTTGTTTTAATATTCTTTATTGCAGGCTCCAGTCATCTTTCCTAAGTAAAGTAATACATGTTGAAAGTAATCTTAGGAGGTTATCTGTTCAGACCCCTTGCTCCAAGCAGGGTAAACTTAGCTGAGGTTGCTCAAGGCCTTTTCCAGTCCCATTTTGGGTATCCAAGCTGCTGGGGCCCTTAGCTATTGAGGATTCGCACCAATTTATTACTGCAAGTCGGTTTTTCCATTTTATTGTTTCATGTAATTAACTTTGGACAGAAAGGTCTGTCTAACTATGGATGATAATGCTGAGGAAAACCAATTTGATAGTTACAGAGGGTTGTGTTCTTCACATGCTGCTTGATGTTTATATGTCATTCACCCCTTAATTGTAGCAATCAGATTACCAATCTCCCATCTCTTCTCATACATATTTCTCACATTCCAGTGTGCATTCTACTTGCCTTTGCAAGCAGGCATAAAGCACGTAGCCTGGGTTTTCAGATATTTTGCTCAGTGGGTGGGATAGGGCCACCCTGCTTGTACAGTCATAGGCTTTGCTCCACAAATAGCATGTTGCATTCCTCCATTGGAGTTACTTCTTTTGTTTGGATCCTACTGGGGTTTAAATCTATGACTTTTCCCCCTCTGTGGTTAATATGTATCATCTTGGAGAGTTCTGTTGCTGAAAGACCTGCTCTTTCTTCATTAAGTTATACATGCTGAGAGTTTTTGGTATTCAAATATTTACAAAAAACACTTTAAAATCCAGAAATTAGAAGGAAAATTAAACAGATTTGGCATTTAAGAAGGAGGAGGGTTAAAAAAAGCCTTTATACTTCAGGTACTTGGAAAGAATGTGCCATTTATGCCTCTGAATTTTGTAATCTCCAGTTTTTGCGACTTGACATGTTATCAATGCATCATCATGGCCAACACTCCTTAGGAGTCAGAAAAGTAGAGTGCTTAATAAAGTGTGTTGCCCTGTTATTGTACACTGTTAGCATTTTTCCATGATGCTACTGTGGAGAATCCAGTTAAGGAGATTTAGAAGTTGTAAAGGAAAGCACTCAAAATGCCATTAAATCTCTTTAAATGTGTGAGATAAATTACTCTTTAATGAGATCTGCTCTAGGTTATGCAGAAAATGGGAGAAAATACTGCATTTTATCTCACTTGGTTTCTAGACTGTCCACAAAAGAGTCCTTGATGGCAGTAACTAATGGCATCTCTTGAGGATTATTGTATACATAAATCAGCTATTTGTGCTCTTGAGCAGATCCTCTCCAGGATGCAGAATAGGGAACACTGCAGACTTGTAGGCCCGTGATAGAATTCTAACAGATTCCCGGTGGCTTCTTGGAAAACTGTCCACAATGAAAAATGGAAAAAAATTTCTTTGTACATTATCATCTGTATTTTACTTTAATCTGTTTTTAGTAAGCAATAAGCACATCTGTCACTGTGTAAAGATAGCATTTGTCACTGTTGTGTACAGACATTATTTCACAGGCAAGTTTGCACATAGGAGAATTTTTCATCTGTAAATTTTCTTGCTGGGGACACAAAGAAAGAGAGATGTTATTAACTAGAATGGACCATTTTTAGGTGATGAAAACAGGAAATCCATGAGATATTAGTGTACTCATCTTCATGAAGTTCTGTGAGATTTTTTTAGTGTAGAGAGCCTTGTATTAGAGGCTGTGTAGAGTGTGCCATTGTATGAAGGCAGCATGAATGAGGTGAATGCCATTTAGTGAGTGTAATTGTAATTTACTGTGAATTGTATTAACTGCTTAGCAAAAAAATCTCAGTGTTGCTCAGTGTGTTCTGATATCACTGTTAATGACGTGTAGATAATGTAGGAAAATCTCCTTCAGACCAAACTTAGAAGTTCTCTTGATTCTCTCTGCTAGCTCAAGCTTTGTTCAAATGATCTAAATGTAAGAAAAGGCAGTTCTTTTGATGGTATGGATCATCTGGTGTGCTGTCTGATTCCACTAGCATTGATTAAATCAGTTCAAACCATAGGTGGACCTCCTCACCTCCCGCTGAAGTGTGTAGATAAAGCTGCTCTTCACCCAGGATCTAAATTTAGTTGTGGAGTTTGTTTGTTACCTTGCAAATCATAACATCCTACTATTGTGAGTGGTTTTGTTTGGTTTTTTATTTGTGGGTTGTGGGGGGTTTTGTTGTTGTTGTTTTGTTTCTTTGTTTGTTTGTTTTTTCTTTGGACCAATTTTCTTATTAGTGTGCCTTGAAATGAAAAAAAATTGAAAATCATCTGGGATGATATGATAGTAGTCCTTGTCATCCTGAGTTTGTGTTGCTGCCATGTTCTTATGTTTGCCCTTCAGTGGAAGACCTCTGAATTTTGTGGTTTTTTTGTGCCTTAGTTTCCCTTAAAACAGGTTTTGGTATTTCAATATGAACATTGATTTGTAATCTCCTGCCCAGAGAGACTAGTTTGGGGGGGGGATGTAAATTTTGAAATATTTTACTTCTGTCTTATGATTTATACACCAATTTAAACTTTTTTGCTGTCCCCTTAATTAATATAATAAATCCCATTTAAATATGTCCTCTTACTGTTTGCAGCATTTTGCATATTTTTCTTGATGCACTTACAAAGGCATCCTATGTAATTAATTTTCTTGTATTTGAATTTAGAATGCATAGTGAAATTCAACCAATGCTGTGTTTGGAACTGTATATGTTAGTAGCTTTCCTGTGTAAGATCCTACTGCTCTGTTTGTGGTTTACCATTGCCAGATGCTTTCTTTTTCTGGTTTGTATACATGTATGCACATGTTGCACATTTTTCAGCCCTTGTCCTTGGGATGCTGCATTTAACAGTTCCTGTTTCTGAAGCAGCAAATGTACCAGGTGTCAGATCTCTAGCTTGTAATTCCGGAGGCTTTGTCCTGTCAGAAAAATCCAGGCTGTTTATGTCTTCCAGCAGAGCTGGAATTCAAAACTGTCTCTTGTTTTGACTTCCCTAAGAATAAAAGTTTCCAGAAGTACAAGTGGAAAATGATGGCATTATTCTCTGTTCATAGAAACTGTAGATGGATTTTCAGCATCCACCTGAAGCAGTCAATGGGAAAGTGTGTTATTGAAGCTGGTAGAGCTCTTAACCATTTAATTGCTTGATTATTCAGTTTAGTTCTTCTGGTTCCAAAACAGTTTGAAATCTTGCATGAATTAATTAGTATCACTTAATTATACTACATGTGGGGAAAATTAATAGGTTCTAATTTTTTTAATCTATTTAGCCATCTATAAAATGATTTCCTTAGATTCACTTTCAGGTATGTGTTGCTCCCAAAAATGCTTCTTCCTTTTCATTTGTTCCTAGCAAGCACTTGCTCAAGATTTCTTACTAACTGCATCTCAAAGGTGGCAATCTTAAAAAGTGGTCATAGTCAGGATATCAGGGATGACATGTGGGAGATTAAGTCTCACTTTAATATGACTGGATATTTTCACCCAGCATATGACGGTAAGCCTGTGATGGTAAGTTTTCTCAGGTTACAGGACAGAGATCTTTCATTCCATGAAGCATAGCAGGAAGGTTTGTGTTCTTGCATTTTCCCAAAGCTCTATGAGAAAAAACTGGCTTTGTTTATTTAGTTACTTTGATTTTGTAGAGTGAAAAATGAGAGAAGTGATGGTTAATTTTTTTTTTAATGTGAGATCCATCCTGTGGTTTGCTGCCTTTGCAAAATGGTTTTGTTCTTCAAAATAAAGACTTAAGCATTATTCATTATTAAATACTTGCATGAATAGCTGCAAGGTACTAATTCAGGTTTGGTTTTCATTGAGGAGATAACAAAGAGATGAGCAGTGTTCTTTCTGTAAATATCTCTTATATTTGGAATGCATTTTTAAATTAACTTACCTAACCAGTAGCAGAACTGGCAGATGTTTTCAGGAGATGCACACCGTTATGCTTTTCTTTGACTGAATTAGTGAAAGCTTTATCTTTAATGTGAAAAGTGTTTAGAGTTGGAGAAAGGTACCAGATGCTTCCTTAGAAGTCTTGCTAAAAATGTGATGAACATGTGAAATCTTTACTTGCTGTTCAGTGGATAAGCCTTTTTGTATGTTGAAGGTTTAATTTAAATCCTCTTTCAGACAGCATCTTTTGTAATTTTTTTTTTTAATTATTATTCATCTGTAGGTTCCTTCAGAGAAATCAGAATCCTTTGCATCCATGTTGAGACGCTCTCCTTTAATTCAGATGGGGCCTGCCAAAGATAAAATTGCTGTTGGTCAAATATTCCATGTTGTAGAAGATGATCTTTACATAGATTTTGGTGGCAAGTTTCACTGTGTGTGCAAAAGACCGGAAGTTGATGGAAAGTAAGTAATAAACTTACGGTAGGTGATTGACATCTGTGAATGACATCCTGAAATTCTTAGCTAAGGGACCTGAATGTCTTCTGAAATGACCTTGGATACTGGGGTTTAAACTGTGTAAGTTAATGTGCAGAATTAAAATTTGTTATTTGGTCATAAACAGATCTGCATAACTCATCATTGTCTGGAATTCAGATTCCTTTACACATTTGCATTATTGCTATCCATATTATTCCAACTTGTGACGAGCAAAGGATGTTACTGGATGTTTAGTCACTGAAAAAAAGGGAAATAGTTGTCAAGCACTCTTTATTAAAATACTTGGGAGTTTTGTGGTTGTGGAACTTCAATCCCATGTAAGTATTCTTAGGCAGTAGCTATCTCTGCTAAGCATAGATACACGAGGTGATGTACTGGGGACTTCACATGTTATTTGTGATAATACTTTTCATAGCAGATGATCTGTGCTAATGTGGTCAAATATACCATATTGTAGCAGGTGATTTTATATAGATTTTGGTGTCAAGTTTCACTCTGTCCCGAAGTAGAACATCTGTGGTGGAACTAGAACAGTTATGCTAGGGAATACAGTATTTTGAGAGCTAAAAGATAAGAAAGCAACGAATTCTAGTGGAAATAAGCTTATTTATAAGCTTTCTGAACTGTCTTTGTCACTTTATAATTGTGTATTATTCAAAGATCTCTTGTCTATTAAATTTGTCTCCAGGTTGCTTTAACACTTATTTTTTAATACATAGGCAAAACATGGTCTTTTAAAATTCATAACATCAGAATATTTTAGTCCATCTCTTATCCCTGTGTTTCCCCTAAGAGAGGAGGAGCATCTTTGTTAATCTGCCATGTCACTGTTTTTGAAACATTAAATATGATTCCTGTGATAATCGGTTCTGAAATAATTGATTTAACGAAAGAGATTTAACAAATAATCACATGTTTGTATGCAAGTCTGTGATAGTATTTTATCAGAGCACTTTTATACTCAGCTTCTTTTTTTGACAGGTCTGTGACTTTCAGAGCAAATGTGTTTGATGTTCCAGGATGAACTGAGTCTTTATGCCTGTCCCATTTGGCAGCAGGCAAATATTTTCTTAGTTGGTTGCTGCTACTGTAGTAATAAAGCCCTTGTTGCTGTTTGCATCTCTTGCAAATTCCAAATGGAGATTAGCTTTGCCTTTCCCAATCCCATGCTTGCATGTCTGAGGAGTGTTTTTATATTAGTCTCAATCTCTGGCTATTCGTTTGGTTTTGTGGTTAAGTTCAGGCCAAAACTCCCTGTTCAGCTGCACCAGCCTTCTGCCAGGCCTGCTCAGTCTGCACCTTGGGAAAGACCCTTGTGAAGCTGAGTTTGTCTTTTTTGAAGTTGAGGAGTTTGTCTTTATAGATCTTTGACATCTTCTGGGCACCTTTCCATGTCAGAACAGCTTCTCTACCCTGAATAACCCAAAGTCTACTATCCTGAAGCCTAGATCTGTCTTTTGCTGCTTTACTTTCTCACTTCCCTTCAGCATGAAGGCTCTCATTGGAGGTCTTTGCAGCTGAGACAGACATCAGTTATCACATTCCCAAGCAGTTCTTGTCTGCCTGTGTGTAACATGTCCAGCAGAAAACCTGTCCTACTTGGGTTGTCTGTCACCTCTGGCAAGAAAGTGTCACCAGGGCACTCGCTCTGATTGCTTGCTCCCCTCCATGTTTGTTCCTGCTTGAGCACACATCAGGACATTTGAAGTGCCCTGTGACAATCAAGGCTTGCAATTGTGAGGTGGGTTCTGGTTGTTTGAATGAAGCTTCATCCACTCCCTCTTCTTCATCCCACTGCCCAGAGCAGACACCCACCATGAGTCTCTGTTGGTCTCCTCTCCAGTTTTGGCCCATGGCTCTGAACTGCCTCCTTGCATGATTCAGCGCAAGGCTCCATGCTCTCATGTCTCTTTCTTGCTTCTTTCTTCTACCCTCCAAAGAGGGTACCTCTTTGCCTTGATTCATGTTTGCTTGTACAGTTTTTCCCAGGTTTGGGGAGGGGGCAACTTTGTGTTTCTCTTCAATCTCTAACTTCACTCACCTTGTGAATGCTGAACCCACTTCTTGCTCTTTCCTTGTGTGGTGTTATTATTTTGTCATGGTGCTCTGGAATACTGAGATGGCAGGACAGACTGGGGGGAAAGGAATGAAAGATGTCTTCCTTAAAAAAGCTCATAGGCAAACAAGCATGTGTCCACTCCTTCCTTGTTCTCATCTTACTGTCAATAACTTACACCTTAGTTTTTGGTGCACGTTGCAGAGGTACAGGGGAAGATGAGGCCCAGGAAAACTCCTGTTGGAGCAGGCGCTTTAGAGTCAGTTGTCCACTAAACAGCCTGGGGCTGAGAAGATCTTGGCCAGTTATATTTTTGGCTGCCTTTTATAATGATGAAAACAAGCAGATCCCTATAAAACTTGTTTATATTTCCTTCTCCACTATACTTCTCCACTGCTTTTGAGTGGGAGTCGAGAGATGGAATTTAATAGCCTGGGTATTTTTAATGAAATTAAATTTGGTACTAAGGATGGTAGTTACCAAAATAATAGAAACAGCATTTACAATATTGAGGATTGTGGTGGCAGTGGATATAGTAGTGTTGCTACTCTATACTTAAATGACTTAAAGCATTCATTTGAGATGTAGGTGACTGATTCAAGTCCCTTTTCTCTTCAGACCAGAAACCTGATTTTTTCTCAGACAACTTAAGTGTTTAAATGCTATTTAGAAGTCATAATCCTCTAAATAAAAATAATTTAATAAGAAAGCAAATAGTTTAAATAATTCTTGCCAACTTTTTCTAATTCATTGTGTTTCTGGAATTGGAACTTCTAAAATTTACCTGAATTTGCAAAAAAATTGCAGTAGCAAGCAATCTTTTGCCATTTATGTAAAGAGGTATTTCTTGAGGACATGTGCTTTTGCTATTTCCTTGGTCATTTGGCTTTTTTCTCACAGAACTCATCTATTTTCATGATATTATAATACAGTTTATTTTTCTAATATGATGGCCTGTGCTCTTTGAAAATGCTATGGTTTACTTGAAAAGAAACAAAAGGTTCTTGAGTGTAAAACTTATTCTCTTGAACTACTCAGTCCTGTTCCTAACAGCTGTGATTTCTTGGAAGGTCCAAGTGAAAGACCCTGTAGTGCTACCACCATGTGGCCATAAGAAAGGATTTCACCCTAAAGATTGTCTTGGGTAAAAAAGAAACTTAAAAAAAAGGTGTCCCTCACTTGGAAAATTTGAAGTAGCTAAACAAGCACATTTTTTCCCCTCAAGTCTACTAAGAGAATTTTCACCTCTAAAAAAAAACCAAAAGCACACAAACCAAAACCCCAAACAAAACACCACAAACTTTAAGGAAAAGAAACCTTAGAACAGTAATGCAAAATTTAAATTGAATAAACATTTGAAGAAACTGCTAGCTATTTTTGTTTAGTTTTTATTGATTGTTTTCCTTTTTTTTTGGACATCTCTTTCATAGAATTGCAGAAAAAAAAATTTTATAAGGATTGATGGTATTGAGATTGAAAGAATGCACTGGCTTGGTTAGATATCAAATATATTGTTAGTAAAATCTCACAGGGGTCAGGCAAGGATGTACTTGATTATAAATATCAGTATAATTTTGTTACTTGGGGTTTATTTACTGTGTCGGAGCATTTATTACCCTTACGATTTCAAGATCTCACATAATATATGTTGTAATTATTAAATATATACTGCAATTATTAAACTCATTTCTTGATGTACTCTGACTTACATGCTTTATTAGATTTACATTTTATCCCAACAGCACAGCAATTCTGTTAAATATCCAAAGTTTATACAAATGAGAAAGGGTCTGTAGTAAAGTAAAATTCCTTTTCAGCAATGGGAAGAAAGTATATTTTTTGTCTCTTTTAACATGCAGTGGAATTGAAGTCCTAAAGAAGAAAGTGTTGGTCTTACATCTCCAAATAAGCAACAACTTAATCCATGGCAAAAAGGTGCTGTTAAAACCTGCTTCTGACATTATCAGATGGAATTCCTGAGAAGCAGAAAATATGGGAAGGGATTGTGCTGACACCACCTCTTGCATCGTCTGCACCTGTACTGTTTAATGACCAATTCCCATCAAAAGCACAATGGCTTTCAGCAATTTTCTAAAATGTAGGATTGCAGGACCAGCTTCCAAAGAGGATTAAACTACACCTCTCCATGCCAGGGTAATGAAGCTTTATTTTCAAAGACTGCTGTAACCCTCCAGCAACTCCAGTATTATCAGACTGTAGGATCAGAAAGACACTTCCTTTATGCTTGAGTATGCAGCTGGTGCAGGGATTTCCAGTATATCCTGTGGCAATTTTACTTGACACCTTTTATACAGTGCATATTTGCCAAACTTAAATAGTAGAGAAGGGAAGAAATCATTTGATGCTGGTTGTGATTTAGAACATGACAGCTTAATGAGCACCATAAAATATTACCTAATGCTGTTTCTGCAAATTGTATCAAAATATTTACTCTGTTTGAATGACTGCCAGGGTGAATTTTATTTAGGAAACATTTAAAATTCTTTTCTTTTTGTTCTATTTTTAAAATATTTTATAGATAAGGTCAGAATGGAATCCAGTTTGAACTAATCTGGTTTCTTAGATTAGGTAATGTGAATAAGGCTGGTTGTTTTCTAGCACATTCATTTTATTAAGACAGTCTTAAATTTATGTTGAAAGTAATACGGGAAACTTAAAAAGATCTTGTAAGATTAAAAAACCACAATTTTCTCAAAAAAGAGGAGAGGTGCACAAAGAGAGATGCTCTTCATGGGAAAGGATTTCAATAAGACGCTGTTTGGTTTAGTTCTAGTTTGTGCATTAAACAGTCACCATGTGTTAAGCTGGAGGGTAAGTTTGGAGTTACCTGCTCTGTTTTGATGCCATGTGAATATGCTTTTTGAATGAGTGCATCAACCAGAATGAG